AGGATCATATTTGAAACCGAGCTCAATTTACATCCCTTACATTTGTTCTCATATATATTGTCAGCATACAATGTATATTGACAAATTTGCGATCCATCTCACACCTAATATATCATATTTAAAAACTAAATCAATGATCCGTTGAATGTATATATCAGGCGTACGCAAAACTTCACTGTTACTGTAATTTTTCCTTCTGCATCTGTATATGGAAAACACATACGCAGACACGCGAGTGAGGCCGATATAATTAGTCACCATCACAAATTCATGAAAATACCGGAAGACCTTTCTTTTATGGAAAATGACATTTGGTACCTCATGAAAAAAATACTGACATTTTGGATACTGTAATTTAATGAAAAAGTGGTGTATTATCTCCCTTTTTTTTTAATAAGAGTTAAATAACTAATTTATTAATATTAAAAAAATTAATTAAGTTAGTTATTTATTTAAAATATCTTATTTGTTAACTTATATTAGAAACTACCATTCATTAATAAAAATATTCCTTAACATATGAAATCTATAGGGATGGTTGGAAGAAAATCAAAACCATGATATCCTAATGTTTTTTGTTTAAAACAAATTTAGAAGATAAAATTGAGTGAGGTTCTCTGTTTAAAATCAAAACAAACTCTTCAATTTGCTTTTTATATTTAGAACTTGACAAATAATAATTGTTATTATCTCTGATTCTTAATATAAGAGCTATTTTAATTTTCAATTTAATATTAAATATAAGACTCCAATCTACTTTGTTTCATATTTATCTATTTTTTTAAGATAATCCTCATAATAGTTACACATGTTAAATGTTTGATTAAAATTCATTTGATTAGTAAGGATATTTTAGAAAAGACAATATTTATTTATTATAAATAACCAATTTAACTAATTTTCTTAATCTACTCAAATTAATCAACTAGTTCTTATGCTGAGGAAGACAGGTTGTACATGACATCCCAGTTTTTTTCCCCTTTATTTTTTTTTATCTCTATTCTCGAGTTAAATATGACTTGAATTTTGATCAACTGAACTAAAAACACAAGCACCTTTTTTGGAAAGGAAAAACATGATTTTTTTTTTATAAAAAAAAGCCTTTGAAACATAAATGTTTCGATACCAAAAAATGATACTCCTCTGGTCCTTAATATAGGATCCAATTTTTAAGTTAGCTTTGATCCTAAATATAAGACCCATTTCTCATATTTATCAGTTTTCTCTAAATTACTCATATGGATACTCCTTCAATCATAATCTAGTAGAAGAAGAAGATGAGGTATTAAGAAAAATGATTATGGTGTTTTAGGAAAAATGTGTCACTTTTCTTATAATTAATTAATTTACCTAACTTTCTTAATCTAATCAAATTAATTAAATGGGTTTTATATTAAGGATAGAAGGATTAGTTAAAAACAAAACATGCTACGAAACAAAAGCTTTTGATGTAAAAATAAAAGTGAAAAAATATTTTGAGATTAAGATTTGTTTTGGCATTTGGTTTGGAGAATTTGTTTGCTATAAATTGGTCATACAAAGTGTGAAAACTAGCTTTCAGAATCTCATTGAAGAGCCGAAGTTAACGCGCTGCTGACTGGTCGCCAGTCGTATATGACTATGAGCAAAGCCACATGCAATTCTGCCAACTCATCCTTAATTATCTGCGTAGCTCAGAGACGACGTCGCTGTTTTCTCTTTCCAAATTTGTCAGTTTGGGACCTTGGGTTTCCCTTTCTGGGTTTCTTAATATTCCTAGCATTTTTCTAAACCCGGTAAACTTCATAATGGCCTCTGAACTAAAGAATCAAAGCGGTTTGGTTCCTCCACTTTGCACTTTATGACACGGAATGCCACCAATAATTCAGAACATAACTGGACATTATAGTTTATAGAAGATTATACCTTCAGTGCCCATAAGTTTCATTCAACTTTTTGTTTGGTCCTCACAATTTAAAACATTTGCAAGTGAATCCTTACGTTCTCCATTTTTTTTATACTATCTGTCGCTAAAACTTTGTAAGTGTGTGCATCTTTAAAATCAAAGACTATAATCAATTACTATCTCAATAAGAGCTATTTGAGAGTTAAATTTGATTCTAGATATCACAATTCATTTTTTTTTAAAATTTGATTCTAGATATTTGTATTGATTATAAGAAATTGTCACCAAAAGTTAATATTTTTTTTTTGTCCTAATCAAACAAGGCAAGATGCTACTCTCAAGCGTCTAGATCATGAAAAAGAACATTAGCCAAAAGCTCTGGTGGAGAACTGAAAAATTGCAATCCCACTAACTCCATTATCCTCTTGATTGCACCATGCTATCAACACCTCCCTCTCTTGCTCCACCAAGAGTTAATACTCCAATACACATGATTAAAAAATATAGTTTAGGAAAATCAGTGCATATTTGTTATACATACTTAACTTAACCAATTTTTTTTAATATTCTCAAATTAATTATCTAATAAAAAAGAGTAACTCACATATGCATCAAAATGATAAAAATAATATAATAACAAGCACTATCAATTTATGTTACTGTGAGTGATAGGGATTCTCATATATTAAACAAGTGATTAGAACTTTAATTCTCAAATTTTATAGATGAAGCAAATTTAATTGGAAAGTGTCTATATTTTCCATTTTTATTCCTAAAAAAATTAGTCTCTTCTCTCTAGATAGCATATTCCTTATTCATATATAAAAGAATATAACATTGGAGCGCTCAACAAAAAATATTTAAATTAAAAGGACCTAGTTAAAAAATTTTAAATTTTAAATTTAAATTAGAAATTAAGATTGAGTTAAATAATAGAAAATAAAAGTATAATTTTCTCTCTTTTATTTCTATATTTATTTTTTGAGGTAATACAATTTTTGCTCTCTTAAATTTTCACAAATTTTGATTTTAATTTCTTAAATTTCAAAATATAAATTTTAGTTTCTTAGTGGGAAAAATGATTCAGGCTTTTATTAAATTATAGAGACTAATATTTTTAATAAAAATAAATTTGAGAGATCAAAACTAAAATTAAAAAAAAAGAACAAAAGATTATACTCCTCCGGTCCTTATTATAAGACCCAATTTGACTTTTTATTTGGTCCTAATTATCAGACCCAATCCATTTTCTCTCTTATATTTATGCATTTTTTTCCAAGATAATCCTTCTAATAATGATAGTTTTAGCCAATATACTTAATTAGCAAGGATATTTTAGGAATAACAATACTTATTTATTATAAATAACCAACTTAACTTACTTCCTTAATCTCCTCAAATAAGTCAATTGGGTCTTATAATTAGGACCGGAGGAGTATTAACTATTTATTTTTCCATGGAAGTTGTGTGGAATTGTATCCTGGGACCGTCACTGTGTCATTACCAAAAGTGGCAAAATCCATCCACCTTATTTGATAAAACGGGGCCCACGCTGTCAGATTCATGCATAAAACGCTTTCCTCGGACCTGTGGATGTGAGATGGAAACCCCATCAGAGACGAAATGACAATCACACCCCTTCGTGAACTCTTGAAGATGTAAGACTTATGCCAAAGTTTTTTTTCTATTTATTATTTTAAGTTTTCTAATCATATATATGACCATGTTTTAATTAAATATGATTAAATATTAATATTTTAAAGATATAATATATGATGATATATTATTGAAGAATTTGACATAATAGATATAAAAATTTTATATAAGTATTGTCCAAAATTTATCAACTTCTATTTATTTACTTTTTTACATAAAAACAATATATAAATTTAGAAAAAAAATAAACAGATACAACAAAATTTTCTCAGTTTTTAAAATTGAAATTGAAACTATCATTGAAAAAATTCCACTCTTTTTAGGGATCAAGTAGCTATGTTAAATTTAATGTTTAGTCACTTATTTTATTTTCTGATGTACCAGAAGTTCTGGGCGAAATGTATATAGCCTTTCTCCGCAAAGAAACAAATTTTTATATAAAATCGAAATGTTAAACTTTGCATGCAAGTCCGCATAGCGCCTTTCAATTTTTTCTTATATATACATATATATATTTCGCTTCATTATATTATTCCTATTTACAATACTTACCTGAGCAATCCTGCAGATTTCTAGTCCTCTTTAATTCAAAACTATCTTTATTACTCCTCCGGTCCTAATTATAAGACCCAATTGACTTATTTGGGGACATTAAGGAAGTAAGTTAAGTTGGTTATTTATTATAAATAAGTGTTGTTATTCCTAAAATATTCTTGCTAATTAAGTATATTGGCTAAAACTATTATTATTAGAAGGATTATTTTGGAAAAAAATACATAAATATAAGAGAGAAAATGGATTGGGTCTTATAATTAGGACCAAATAAAAAGTCAAATTGGGTCTTATAATAAGGACCGGAGGAGTATTTTGTTTTATGAAATTGAGGCCATGTCATTGTCAAAAAGACAGTGGTGATTGTTTGGGGTAGTTTTGGAATTTGACATGCGCGGCAGAATTTTTTTTAAGGTTTTAAGTAGGTCGAGTTTCAAGTCATTCTGACTAAGGAAAGGAAAAAGAAGATAAGTTGAGGTTTGAATTCACGCCTTGTTCCTCTCTCGCTCTTCTCTTCTTCTTATTATCATTATGAACACTCACTACTCTCCTAAAATGCCAGCACGCAAGCTTCCACTTAATTTTTCCACGCATCTTTAATGGTGTCTCCTTACTTCCCTTATTTTAAGAAAAAATCTGTGTTTTTTACGACGCCAAAATTACTCTATTCTCAACCTAATCTAAGCCAGTCGAGTAATTGCTTATATACTAAATTACCAATTATTGATAATATCTGTATTGCAGTGTGCATCACCATTTTTGCTGCTGCTTTTTTTCTGAGTGAACTCAAAAGGCCAGAAAGCAAAGGTATGATTATTTTTGTTGTGCTTTTGGTCTGTAATTTCTTTAACTGGTAATAAGAATAATGAATCAGTTATAAATGGTGGAGGAAGTTAGGGTTTTTGAGATGGGTCGAGGGAAGATAGAGATCAAGAGGATTCAGAACACGACCACCAGACAGGTGACCTTCTCAAAACGCAGAGCTGGACTTGTGAAAAAGACTCATGAACTTTCTGTTCTCTGTGATGCTCAAATTGGCCTCATCATCTTTTCTAGCACCGGCAAGTTGTTTCAGTACTGCAGCGAACCTTTCAGGTCTCTTAATTTCTGCTAATGAAATATTATCTGTTACAGATCACAGATCTGGCTATGAAGAGCTAGCTTCAGCTCTCTATCATACTGTCCTAACTTCTCCCACAACTATTTCTTACATTTTACTATGTACGCCTGCGCGTGTAACTTGGGAGTTTTCTTTTTCGAAGTGATCTGTGATTGTTGTTATAGTTTGATTTTTCTTTCCAAAACGGCTACTCGCTAGGGTTTGTGTGCGTATATGCAAGAAGGTTATTTATTTCGAAATTTAGAGAGATATATCAAAAGTTCTAGCTTTTTTGAGGTATTTGTTGATTTGTATCTTCGTTTTTCCTTTTGCTTGCATTGATGATCTGAGATTTCGAATAAATAAAATAATCTTGCGTGTTATTTGGATATTCATGGGTTTTAGAGAGAGAGAGGTGATATTCATGAGTTTTAGGGCTATGGCTGCCATGTTCTGAAACGTGAGGTTGACCTATCTGAGTAGCTTGGACTTTCAGTTCGCGGTTCTGACAGAGAGATCATAACAATATAAATCGCATGAGTTGATCTCATCATCTCTTGTTTATTTCTTTCTTCAGGAAACATATGGCCGATATCTTTCACTTTCTCTCATTTCTGTAGATCGCACTGTAATGAAATGAAAAGTTACCACTGATCGATAACTTGTGTTAATCAAATATACCTCTTCTTTCATTTAATTTCATCGGCTCTTTGTATTTGGAAACAGATTTTCTATTTTGGGGCAAAATCCAAGTTTCGTATTTAGGAACAGATTGCATTTCCTTTAAACTAAATGATGATTTTAGGTTTAATCATATAGCAGATCCTCTAAAGTTTTATTAGTAATATTCTTTTTTAATTGTCATGCAGAGACATATACAAGAAATATATAAAGCTCGATATATATGAAAACTGCAATAGAGTGCAGTCTCTCTCTCTCTCTCTCTCTATATATATATATATTTTAACTAATTAAACTTGTATGAAAGCAGTCATTTTCTATAACAAATAATTGTTTTCAAAGGCATATTCATTATTGTTTATATGCCATTTGGCTACATAATTAAACTCTATCTAGCTATAGAAATTAATGCCGCTATAAATAATTCAATGTTATATTAACATATAATTAATGACCTGGATATATTAAGTGCGGTAGATTAAATTTTTATTTTGACGTGGTGAGCAATCGTTGACTTGAAACTGAATTTCTCAGGATGGAGCAGATCATTGAAAAATACCAGAAAGCTACAGGAGTACGCATACCTGAACACGATAGTCGGGTAAATTCATGTCACTGCTTAGCTTGATCTTAAGTAGGCATATTTATGGAATTAATAATAGGTATATGCATGAATATACAATAATAAATTTGTAGCGGAGTGTGTTTGTAGGAAGATTTAGTGAGTGAGATGGCAATGCTGAGGCAGGAGACTCTGCGCCTTGAACTGGGAATTCAAAGGTACATCGGAGACAGCATGGGCAGTTTGCAGTACGAGGAATTGGCTAAACTCGAACAAGACCTTGAGATATCTGTCACCAAGGTCCGAAATCGCAAGGTAGGTGTACTCATTCCGTTCCGTGTGTGTACATATATACAAATATATATATATATATAATGATGAAGAAACACACCACTCTATCTTTGAACTGGCATGCATGCAGAATGATCTGTTGCAACAGCAGCTGGATAATCTGCGAAGAAAGGTGAGATGAATTAATAACCTTGTACTGTGAATGTCGCATGCATGCATGTTAATGATATATGTGTTTAACGTTGTTTAGGAAAGAATGATGGAAGAAGAGAACAGCTACCTGTCGCAGTGGGTACGTAGTACGATGGTTAATGAAATGATTAGTGATAGATTAAATGATAATGATATGAAGGAATGAAATGACACGTGATATTTTGTATCGATTGATATGATAACAAGATTCAGGAGCAGCGAGGGGGAGGAGGAGTGATGGAGAATGATGGAGAAGGACAGCAAATGATGGACCAGTTGCCATTCTATGAGGGCCAGACTTCTCTTCAGCTTGCTCCTCTCCACCTTCATCCCTATCTCCAGCTTGCCCAGCCCACCATTCATGACGCTTCTAATTCTCATCCCCACTAATCCCTTCATGCTACCTACGTACGTTAATTAGTTCCTACCTATCATAATCTCCTCTGTTTCCCTGCACTATGCTGTTTTCTAAACGCTGCGTTTTTATTTGTGCTCTTGCAGAGACATACCAGGTTGGAGATGCATGCTTCGTTGCCAATTATATTAAGCATATCTGCACTTAATCTTAATTCATCGACTCTCTTCTCTGCTTACAAATAACTTGCTTCCTTCCAGTCCAGTATAGTACCTCTATTAATTCTATGCTTATTTGAATCGGAATACTATATTTAGTTCATTATCTATCAAAGGCTTTGATTTTGCATGTGAAACAAAATGAAACAAAACCATTACAAATTTGATCACTTGCAATATACGAAGTCCAGAATGATGTAACTATTTGGTACCTATTTATAGATACTTATATTGCTCAAATTGACGCCAGGCCACTGTATAGGATAGAAATGAAAAAATCAATAACGAAGACATGCATGCATGTAGCTACGCCTCTGTCACTGCCTCAACACCATCCTGCATCTCCGAAGCAGCTGAATTTTAATTTCACGCTTCTACCGCTCCTTTCAATTTCGGAATCTGCCCCCCTTTCTTGTGTGTAACTGTTAAATGTTCATGTTGGAGTTGTAGCTTATAAAGTTTTCTGGGTGGGAGGGTATTGGCTGCATTCGTCAATGTGCTTTCCCTTGTATTGTTGCTCGCAGGTGGGATGTCTCGGATTACCGCAGGGACTGTGGCGTTTTAACTTTCTCTCTCTGTTTTTTTTTTTTTCCGGACTAACTTGCCTGGTCAGCATGCCAAATAAGCAAATCGTGTTAATATCACATCACCAATATTACCACTACTGTTAACTCCACGTGTTCAAGAAAATAGAGAAACTAGCATTTCCGACAAAACTTGAAGAGATGAAAAACCCGGATTTAAAACCATAGATATCACCAATAACTTGTTAGTTGAGATAGTAGCGGCCTCACCCTCATAAGGAGGAGAACGTAAGTTTGAATCTCGAGAAATGCATTTATTGGGAGGGCTATTTTTTAACCGCTCTAGGTCTAAAAGGGATTAGTCTCAAGTCCAATGCGATTTGAGAATACCCTTATTTCACCTTAAAAAACCATAGATACCAAAATCAAAATTTGATAAAATTATAAATAACAATAATGATATTAATCCTATATATCTTTTGATTGCTAAAAAATAAAATGTATCAATGAGTCAAGCTCAGATTTTATCTTTGATGAATGGCAAGAAGCGGTTTCAGTGCTCATCGTATTGATGAGCACCATGATATTTATCAAATCTCAACTATTCAAACTTAGTATGGACGATCGAGATTTAATATTTCAGATTTTTTTCAAAATTTTTTTTCTTTTAATATCTATATAAGCCAAAATAAATGTAATATCTTAACTGTAAGTATTTTAAAAAAAGAAATTTTTTATTTAAAAATTACCAGTTGAAAGTTTCAAATCTAGACTATTAAAACTAATTTTGAATAATTTAGATTGCACCATGATGCTTATCACTGCAATAAGTACTAAAACTAATTCCATGATTGGCCACGATTAACACAAATATATCTAGCTCGTGCTGCATTGTGCATAAGGTGTGCTCATTTATAATTTGGACGTCTTCTTAAAATGGTTTTTATTTTACTTTTACTCGCTGAAGACTAAATTGTAACACCTTGTTCATAACATCGTGTATGGACAGCGTGACATAGCACAGGAACAGTTCTAGTTTATACTGTAGTGTGTTATATGGCTATGGTAATAATTAACCAATGAAAGGTATTGACTGGGTTAATTCCCTAGTTTCACTCAGACGTGTGGAATTTTATATTCTTTCTTGCTTCATATTCTTTTCTTTGATGACTGATCTATTGCTTATAGCAACTGCGGGACTCATGAATTTGCCTGGTTTTCGGATTCAAAGGTTATAAGATGGAAAGTGCCCGCTTTGTGAACAGTCCTAGAAGAATTCCCAGCCTTTCTAACTGACAGCATCGGGAAACCGTGTCGTTTCAAGATAGAGATGACAAAATTGGGTCTGGGTTGTCCAGAGTCCGTGGGCCGAAGCCTTCAGAAGTTTATGGTTTTATGGGATCCATGCCTGTTGGTGCTTCAGGTCTTGTTTTATATTCCACTAGCGAAAAATAAGCCTTGAGCAGTTTCTTTGTCTTTATTTGAATTCTTTTGATTCTGTGACATTCTTAGAATGCTTTGCCGTTTCTGATTGCTGCTGACGGTGCGTTTGGCACGAGGGATTTGGAGGGGAGGGGAGAGAGGGAGGAGGAATGATTTTAATCATTTCTTCTTGTTTGGCAACACACAAATTTTAGGAGGAGGATTTAGAGAGAAAAGGCTATATTTTATCATGTTGTGACTATTATGCTCATATTTATGTTTAATATCCCTATACTACCCTAAATCCTTCTCTTCTTGTCTCCAGATGCTGCTTTCTCCTTTGTATGACCAAATATTTCATTTAAAGATAGGATACAATACAAGTTAGTTGAATATTACTTTAGTCTTCTTTTCAATAATACTTCATGCTTTAAAGTATATTAGAATTTTGGTATAAGCATTGCCCAATATATTAAATGTTATTTACAATTCTATTTTATTAAACATTCTATAAAATTTGAAAAAAAAATCATCTTGAATAAGGCAAAATTGTCCATGTCAAAATATTTTTCCCTCCTCTCTCTTTATGAACCAAACAAGGTAATATTAAAACTCTTCTCCTCCCCTCCTTTTTATAAATGCAAACCAGGTAATGTTAAAATTCTTTCACTCTCCTCTCCTTCCCTTCCCTCCATTAAAATTCCTCTCCTTTCCTTCCTCTCGGTGAGATATTCAATAATACTTCATTGAGATATTCAATAAGCAAAATTTGAGCGATTATTTTGGAGGTAGTTTAATCGTACATCGATATTAAAACCTTTACCATGTCGCGTGAAGTTCATCATATATGATTAAAATATAAGTCGGTTCACTTATCATATTAATGGATGCAGGAAGTGGAAAGGGAAAGGGTGCTTGGAATTTGCAATGCATGCTAATATCTGGCGTCTATTGGAGTAAATTGTAGAATCATGCCTGATTTTATGAGAGGAGGTGTTGTATTGTGGACCATGACATCCTCTTAAACAATCGAGAAGAGTTTCTTAAACATAGAGATTACTTGTTATTTATAACTAGGCTAAAATGTCATCCTCATCTCCCTTGAAATAACAAAAGTTTACTATAAGGGTTCAATACTCTCCTCGAAATAAAACGAACCAAGATTTAAATTGCTTATATTTAACACTTTGTAATACCTTGAATACATCTGTTGCATATTAAAGCAGATAAAAAAAACTAAAATATACATTTAGTCTTTTAACTGTGTACAATATTTCAATTTAATCCTTTAACTTTAAAAAATATATTTAGTTCTTTAACTCATTTTTTAAAAAAAATGATGAGATTAAAATCTTAATTATTAACAAAATATTCTCAAATAGTAACATATTAAATTTAATTTTCAAAACATCCATATTTATTACAAAATATCATCATTAAAACCTAATAATTTTAGAGTAAAAGGATCAAATGTATACCTTTTAAAGTTAAGAGACCAAATTAAAACATTGTACAAAATTAAAAAACCAAATGCATACTTTAACCTAAAAACAATAACAAAGGTTTGCATTATGTGAGTAATAAATTTGAATGCCACCTTAATAATTTGTGAATTTAATCCTTCCCTATGAAAATACCAACTTTCACACTGGGCACATGAAACTACTAGGGATTGAAGTGACACGCTGCAACTCAATTTACTGCAACTCTTGCTCAGATCTCATCAAACGAAAAAAGAAAAAAATCTCAAATAAAAAGGGCTAGCAACAACTAACCCGTTTACAGAAACTAATTCACCTTTTCTATCGTATTCTTTTCCTATTTTACACGTAGTTGCCGACAACGCCCCAGGTTAGTGCCTGCGCCGAGGCCGGCCCCCACCAGGAGGGAAAACAAAAAAACAAAAAAACAAACATCTCTCAATCTCAGTCGGAAAAGAACAACCTTATTTTGAGTAAATTTTCACTGTTCAGTTGATTTAGACTGTAATTTTCTTCCCTCCAATAGTAATAAAATAGTTTCAGCTAATTTGGCCTGTTTAGATCAACTGAACAGTTGGCATTGACTCAAAATTGTTATTTCCCACGCAAAAATGAGAGAATCTTTGTCCTCCCCTGGGGGGGGGGAATCAATTAATCCTTGTACTGTTCCTTCTTCCCCACCATTTCTTCTTCACTTTGTCAACTGCAACTTCCTCAGTTCCAAGCTTATGTAAGATGACCTTAGTTTCACGTAGTCTTGCACCATAATCCTTTTTCCAAGCTTCGAACATTTGCTTCAACCTTCTGAGCTCCTGGTCTGGGTTCAAACTTGCGTCAACTTGACCAGATTTTACCTCCACCAAGAACTTGGCATCATCACCAAATACTTGACTCCTCTGCTCAAATTCTTCAGCCAATCGACTTATAACACTCAAGCCTGCGCTCATTGATCTTGTTCCATTGCTTTCTTGGCATTCATGATTATTTCCTATATCCCAGCCACAATCTCTTTCATCACTTGCATTGACGGATGCATCTGAGTTCCTTTCTGAATCATCAATCGCAAGGCTCTTCTTTGCTATAGAGAGGCTGGACTGTAGGGATCTCATCTGCTTTTGCCACACTTCTTCCATGGACTTCATCTTCAACTCATACTCAGACCAACGGCTCTCATACTGTTGGAGCCGTTGGTGGAGGATGTCATTTTCCTCTTCTTTCTCTCTCAGTGAAGCTTCTGCCCTGAGCACCCGACGCTGTAATTCAGCTAAGAAAGAAGACTTGACCAGTACCTCATCCGATTCATTTGTCTGTTTTGGAGTTCATAAAATTTGAAGTTACAATGAATTTCTTTGAGGCGGAAAATGCAAAGCCAACTTGCACCAGATTATTTAAGTTTCTCAACTTTGGGAAAGAGGATACCTTCACGCCTTCAGATTTCAATGATCCTAAATCCCCTGAGCATCTTCTGACTAACCAGCCACGAATGACTGCAAATATAGCTCAAATTAATAAGGTAATAAATTATTTACAGAAGTTAACAGGCAATAGCCCACGTAGACTTTCACCGATCTGGACACCCTGCTGTGCCCCCTAAGCTGGATTTTCACGAGTGGAGAATTTCAATAATAAATCATGGTCCTCAGTTTTATGAGCACTTCATAAATCCGACCAACAAAAACTGGTAGCATGAATATTGGCGTTGAACGAATCTCGAACTCTTACTTGATTGTATAACAATTGCAGCTTCATTAGTGTTCTTCATTCTGCTTCTTACAAATGCCGCTTTCATCCGCTTCTGTATAAGGACAGCAGCTCGATGTCTCTGAATTGAAGCTGCATATTCGTCTCTGATTTTCTTTCCCCTAATAACTGTATTAATAGTTATGAAATTACGGTTTCCATCTTTATATATATATATATGTATATATCTTAAAGGAATATGAAATAACAAGAAATATTTGGTGAATAAGGAAATACAAGACTGAAGAGTAATGATTGCTCGGCGAAGTTCCTTCAGGTAACATCGAGCTTGGTGACCCCTGAAGCAACTTTGGACGCGTAAAATGCCATTGAGGGTACGATTTCTGGTATCTTCAAGCACTCCAATCTGCAGTCATAGTATAAGATCAACGTAATTATTTGTCTTTCATACTCCAGCTGATAACTGTAGGTTTATAGAAAGAAATACAGAGCTGTCAATGCAGATTTCGAAGGAATAAGAAGATCCTAATTAAATGCAACGCAGGCATGTCTTATTTTTCAGATACTTACATCGTAGAGTACACAAGAGACCACCATTGTCGTAAGAAAGAATATACAGCATTAAAATTGTTGTGGTCATTTTTAACATCAAATCTAAAGCACATAAAATGCATTCCTCTGTGAAGCTGGCAGCACATGTCTACTTACGCCTACATAAAATTGAGAACGGGGCAAACTCAAAAAAGGTTCCCTGCCCTACACATTCGCCAGTCTATCATTCTATCAACAAGAACAGAGATAAGAAATAAGCAAAAGAGTATTTAATTTCATCATTTTAAAAACTCGAAAGGCAGTACTTCATTTTGAAACAAAGGGACGAAACCAAAACTTTAATTTGAAGTTTGTAGCTTGTTATTTATTCTACATTATTTTTCGTTTGTTACTGTTTATTTATATTCTACTAGCTATTTTATTACTATAATAAATTTACATCTTATTTGGAAAAATATTTTTGAAACTGCATTAGGACAGAGACAGGAAATAATACTTTCGACCTTGTAAGATGGGAATCTGTTAGGACCACTTTTGGAAATCTAGGAAAATACATGTTAAGGCAAAGGTACTTTTTGCTGGGCAGAGGTTTGACTTGCTATTTTGAAAAAAGTAGAGGGTGGGTATGAGTTGGGGGTAGTGAAAGTCACTTTTTGGGTCTACAAATCTTCACTTTGGTCGAGTTGGAAAGGCAGAAAGGAATTTGAATCAGGCTTAGGTATTGGAGTGGAGAGAGCCAATCCCCTCGAAAGATTGGCAGACTTGCGTAAGAATCGTCTGCGTGTGCTGTTTGTATCTTTTGTTTGAGTCATCTGTTGAAGCTGAATTCGTACCCCTCCTATATCAGTTCACTTGTGGGTCTATTTGTATAACAAAGTATTGTTGTTTCATCAATGGATGTAAAGTGTTTTTCCACGTAATAGTATTATCAATCTCAAATTACTTCCCTCCCTTGTTTTTTCTTGTCTTTAGTCTTGTTCACGAGAGGGTCATAACAGAATCTCAATCTTCTCATAGGATTATGTTTTATAATCATCAATTAGTTTCCCGCACGAGATGTGGAAATGCATCATTCCAATCGAAATGCCTAGGAACCCAAAATACTTTTGCCGACCAAGCAGCCCCTAATGATTATAAATTTTATCTAATGGGATTCTGGAAATAGAAGTTATAAATTTTTATAGCGCTTTATAACTTATCTCTAGGAGTTTAACTTATATTTAATCTCTATTTTCATATAATTACAAATAAAAAAAAAATCCAACCCTAGGTTATGCCAACCACACAATTAAACTTGATGACCACACAGTAAAGCAACAATTTACTGTTTAGATCTGATTTAAAAATAGGAAATAGGTCCCAATAAAGAAAACTAAATATAGAGATGCCCTAAAAAATTAATATTTACAAGTTAAATTAAACAATTTATGTTTACAAGTTAAGCTTCCATATTTACAAGTCGAGGGCCATTTACAAATCAAAGCTGTAAAACGTATAAATTGGACCTCTCAGTATTTAATTTCTTACCTGGGACCTATAGATAATTTTTCCTGAAAAATAATATAGGCAGACAGAAAGAGGAGAGGAAAATGCCAATCATGAAGAAAAGATAAAATTCCATTAAATATATTATTGTTACCAAGACTACGCTGAAGCTAGATGTGACTAGACTGATAGGTTTAAAGAAATATTTTACCCAAAAAAAAAAAAAACATAGAAGGAAAAAGAAAGGCACGTGACTTTACTTGATCCAGAAACCTCAAAGCATCCACATCCTAATCATTGAAGCTCAACATTTCAAATGGCCAAAAGAAAAGGGAAGCTTATCCGTTTGGATTCTATTAAGTAGATCCTAATTCTTGAATTGCAAATTAAACCAAAAAGGGGATCACTTTCGTTAATAATTTATTATACTTTCTAATAGTAATTTCTTTGCCTGTACTCATCTAAGATTCTAAATGCTCAGAAATTAGAAGTCCGTGGAGATAAACATCGATTTCGAATATTAAATGCAATCAATTCCATTTGATCATGCCAACCAAAAGAATTTCACAGCCATGAAGACTACTGCTGCAATTAATTAGATACACACCAAAACAACGTCAACTGAAAACGATTTGCATAAGTTCAATTAATAGGATGCACATACCTGGCCTGTTCGGAAAAATAATTTTGTGTAACCAACTTGATACATATCAGGCGAAATATTAAACTGATGAAGAATTGCGACTGAAACACCAAGTGGATCCTGAGATGCAACATCCTCAAGGAGGAGAAAACCATATCTGATTCACCAGTCCCAAGCCAATAAGAGAAACATAAGGCACGAGTTGAAAGGGGGAAGGAAATAGTAAAGACAAGAACTATCATATCATACAATCTCTCTTTTATACCTTTTGGCAAACTTTTGGTGAGACATCCTGGTAGGGAAGCCTGATCTTGATATTCGAACCACTTCTAGTACCCCACAACATTTTAGTTGCTGTAGCACAAGATCTTGCTCATATAATCCTGGAGATTGGAGGTTATTGGGCTTAATACAGCGAATAAAATGTGGGGTGGTGCTCTCCAACCTTTGCATCAATTGGAACAGTTGACCCTGAATGTCAAAAGAAATAACATAATACCAAAAACAAATAAGATCCCCTACTTCTAAGAATTCCCTATGAATACTAAGAGTGCACTAGGGCAAAAATGAAAATAGAACAGGCAAAGGAGTATGTGGGATTTTGGGAGAAGATGTATCTTATTCATCTTGAATATAGCACAGCACATCTAAATATATTCACTGAATAAAAGCAGAGAATAAAACAGTCTTATGCACAGCTCTTGCAATAAAACATGCAAAACAAACTGACAAGCAATGGGAACTGATTTAATTGTAAGAATTAAATTGTGTAGCATCTTGGTTGATAGGTCAAAAGTTTCACTCCTTCAAGGTAACCAGCATCATAAGATTCATTTGATATGGTGGTGGCCCAGTAATTCTTTCCCCCTCCCTTTTACAGCAGTAACTGAAATATATTGCATGGTTTGAGCAAGCAGAACAGCATGGAATCCTATGATTCTTGGACAGAAACACGGTACGTTATTGGGTTAAGGTGGTGCAAAAAAATCTACCAACTTCTTTGAAAAGTGCGCCAAGCACCATATACTTTTCTCATGTACAAAATTTACCCATGAATTTTCACAAGTGGAGCAAAAATGACAATTCCATTACCCAAGCCCAACATCCATCACTTTAGATCATGCTGGTATCCAAGTCAGCATAATCCTCTACTTTCTCAAAAACACCCTCATCTTCTTCATCGATCAACGATCCCAACATAACCATCTTCAAACCAGCAACACATTGCATGATCAGAGATCAAGCCATATCAACAATCAACAAATCAAATAAAAAATCATCCCATATCAACAAAGTCAGATCAAGTCCTAATTAAATTCAAATAGAAAAATAAAATTTAAAAGAAAATGAAGAATTGAAGAACAAAAAAGTTTGGCAATCAACCCTGCTGAAGCATAATCAAGATTGAAGAACTGAAGACGGAAGAACTGAAGTGAAGCTCATCTAGCATTACCGGGTAGCTTCTTCCATTCAAAATACCCAAAAAAAAATTTTCCCCAATACCCAACCAGATTTTAACCCAAACAAAAAAATTTTTACTCCAAAAAAAAATAAAAATCAAACAACCAACTGCGTTATTTGCTCAAAATACCCAGATCTCACTACCTTCTTCTCTGGCAAGCACTCTCAGCGACATCATCTAGACTTCAACAAGTGTCTTGTGGCATTTGATTTTCGCCTGAGGCTATGACTAGGGAAGAGCATCAAAACATTGAGCATCATCTAGGTATCTCTAACCACATTATCATCATCTAGACTTCATCGTCATCGTTTACAACTTGCTACCGCCCGCCTGTCACTATAGGCACCAGTATGTGAAGAAAATGGGTAGTTAGGTCAAAAAATTGAGTGAGATCAGGGTATCTTTGGTCACATCGTCGTTGTTGGGACTTTGTCATCATCATCGACGACCTTCACCGTCACTGCTATTGGTGGGGGATGCCACCATAGTCTCCAGAATTAGAAGAATATGGGGAGATAAGGAGGAAAGGTGAGGGATCAGGAGAGATGGAGGAAGGGTAAGGAAAGTGAGAAGGGCATTAATGGAAATCCATAAATTTTAAAATTTTTTTAAATTAATATATTAATATTAGCTGGCATTATTTTTATTTTTACCTTTTTCTTCTACTGCCAACTAGGATATTATTATGGCCATATGCATCCATGTTAGCATTTTCAGTAAAAATCTCTTTCTCTAATGGTCAAAATTACTGGGATCAACGACAGTGTTACTTTTGCTCCACATTTGAACATTCATGGGTAAATTTGTACTTGAGGAAAGTATATGGTGTCTGGCACATTTTTGGGAAAAAAATGGTGGGTATTTTTGCACCTTAACCCTACTTTATTCTGTAGTAAAGTTAAATATTTTATTCCCATTTTTTTCAGGGTTTATGAGGCTTTATGTTGCATGTTTATTTCTTTTTAAGCGACACTTGATTGGCCAATATTCTTTGCCCATTATCCCCTTTCATGTTTCTTGATATTCTTGGCCCTTTATTTCTGTTTATGTGAAGGATTGATTGCTCATTTTCTGTGACCCTAATTGTAACATCCGTTTTGAAATAAAATAAGAAATATGTCACTATTTTCTAAAATTCTTCAAATAGCATACCAGATATTCCAACATATGTATTAATTTAAAGACAAAAGAAACTAGAGCAATAATTTGCCTAAGTTTCAGAACATGTCATTAAAGCTGAAACTTTTTAGAATTTCAGTTTTGGTGAAGTACCTTGAACTTTGTCGCAACACTCAGCTTTTGGGAATCAGCTCCACCTGATTTGTGTAAGGGACCGACAACAGGCTTCTCAGACTGAGTGAGCATAAAGGATGCAAATATCTGAGGAAGATCACACCTGCATGACGATAGAAGTTGAATGGAATCCAAGTGTAATAGGTCCCTGTTTTTTTCTAGAAATCCAGTTGTGTCGTATGTGACCTGAGGAAAGGAACAAATGGAACAATTAAACATTCAGCTGAGAAAACTAATACGTAGCCCCTTTGGTTTTGCGATATAGTATTGGACTTAACATGAAGCCAAATCAAAATTATGGCTATTGCACACTTGATTCAATTCTAAGCTTCTAGCATGATGCTTACAATTTATATAGAGTAAATTAGATAAAAATTCATTGAATTTAACTAAAATTACATGGACCTTCTCTTCTCTCTAATTTCAAAATATAAGGGAACTCCCAGAACCAAAATGTTGTTCTACTCTTTAGTTGAATTTTAAATTTTTTGGAACTAAAATACCTTCCATTAACGTAAATAGATTCAACAGAAAATACGCTAGTTAAAAATCTTTAAGGAAAGCATCTAATTTACTCGCTCATACACTCCAAAAACACAGCAGTGTCATATTGTAGAGGCTAAACCAAGTCAAATGTAATGTTACTATAATGAAAATCATATTTTGATATCTTATGGATATTTATGAGCTCCTTTGTCAGAGAGACAAACAGGAACCAATACAGTATTATGAGCCTAACAAGATGAATACCTCCCCAGCATAGTGACACGCAGTAAAAGCCTTGTCTCGCTCTCCTCTGAAACATGAATTAGAATTCAAATGCTGCTTAAGCTTGTTAGCAAATGTCAGATCTGTGCCATTAGGGAATGTGGACTCTTCATCTAACAGAGATAGTAATCCCAGTGGTTTCTGCACATATCAAAAGTTGAGAAAAAATACATTCAAATTTGAGTATCAACCATGAATGACAGAAGTTCTCTGGTAAGCAAACTTAGTGCTGTTTCCACAATGAAGTTTAGCCATTTACTATGCACGTGCATCTCTCTATACATGAGGGGTTTCAAGACCATATTTCCTATAAATCCAAATTCCAATTGAAAAGCATGTTACAGATAGCACCCCCGGGGGGGGGGGGGGCTGTACAACTATACCTGTTCAAAAAGATTGAGGCAGTCTTGGTTATCATCAAATTCAATTTTTGCCCAGTCAATGCCATCTTGGATGTATTCCTGGAATAAGAATGTACCAGTTCACATGTATATTCGAATGTCTCGAATGTTTAGCTTTAAGATGTAAGCATTACACATTTTCAAAGACAGATCTTCATTTTAGATGGAAGCTTTTAGAAGAGTTAATTCTATGATTCAAATGCCATTTTGGAGGCTGCTGATAAGTATTAAACCGTATACTGGAGAATAAAATCACAGCATCTCAGACATGCTCTTCGTAAAGGAGCCCTTTTTTCCTCAAAATCCAATCAATTGGATTAGCTCAAGCATTTAGGCCCCGTTTGATATGATGGAGTGGTTTTTGATGGAATTGGAATAAGAATCAGAACTGGAATAGGCAAGAGAATAGAATTGGATTCTAAAAGTATGTTTGGTATGACAATGGAATTTTGTACATTTTTTTCTTTAATATATATATTATCATATCAAATGACTATAATAGCCTTCATTTAAAAGGGAAAAAACAAAACAAGACCTCATCTTCTCCATAATATTGCTAGAAAAGATACTGATATCATCACCGCCAGATAACAACAAAGACATCATTGCCAGAAAACATCACAGAAGCTCATGAAAACATGAACAAAAAACATGATGGTTTGTAGAAATCGAAAGAAGAAATCAAAAGAACTATAGACTGCCACAGGTGCTTCATAATCGTTGGCTAAGGATTTCAGATCTGGGCCTGAAACTAAAACACAAAAATAGAACTAAGAACAGAAACCAAGATCGAAGATGAAGGAGATAGAAGACAGATTGAAGAATAGATTGTTGCTAAGAGGGAAACCTTTCATCCTCAGCTATGGATTTTAGATTTGGGCCAAAAACATAAATGCCATTGTCGCCACTGTCATCGAACCCACATGGTCCCCATTGCAAATGCTAGTCTTTTAACAATAGCTATCCTCTAAAGCCATGCCAACCACAATTGCTTGAAGATCTTGGTGTTCGACTAACACACAGAGAGAGGTTGTCACAGGTTGGGGTTGAGATCATCGTCATTACTATCTAGGGAAGAAGTGTCATCATTGATAGGTGGTGCATGATTGCTATCTCGTCACTGATGGGTAGAGCTAGTGAGCATTGGTCGTCAAAGGTGTGTGTCCCACTGAGGCCTCCCAAGTCAGCAAGGATGTAGGTGAGAAAAAAAATCTAGCCAGCTCCATGGGGGACGATGGAATTGGATTCAAGGCAATTTGACAGAATTGGATTCTACAAGGAATTAGATTCGTGGACACCAAACAACCCAAAACATGGATTCCAATTTAGTTTCCATTTCCCCAGTTTCAATTCCCATCTACCAAACACAGCATTAGCGATCAAAACCCAGTACCGTGGCTTAGTGAACAGCGTTAAGTGTTGTGTTTAAAAGCATTGGGAACAAATAAAGTCAGGTAGACCGTACCATTTTAAGTGTTGTATTATAAGAATGTTTTAAACATCAATGTGGGTGACAATATTTTAGCAGGTGTTGATGATGCTGTACCATTAGATCTAAAGAAGAAATTGTCTCAAATATTTGATATTCAAGATCTTGGCCCATTTAAATATTTTTAGTTAATTGACTATGCTAGGTCAAAACGAGGGATTTATATCAATACATAAGAGTCTGTGCTTCATGTAAATGGATAGGTCGTAGAAGATACATGAAAGAGGAAAATCACTTTCTGCTGTCCAGAGCATTGACCTCAAATTTCCTTCTGTTTTGGATAAAGATACTGAGCATATTAGAGTACCTTAGCCTTGCTTTGGGTCTGACCTAGAAAGGGCTGTAATGGGGATCGTGACTCGCATTTTGGGCTTATATTAGCTGTGGGTGTATCCTGGGAGAGGTAGGTCTTATTTTGTAAACAGAGTGTAGTGACAATAGCTCTTGCCCCTTGAATGCCAGATGGGAGTGGAGGAAGATCTTTCTTCATCATTTTTATCTTTCAATTCCGAATGTGTTTTCTATTATACTTATTGTTGTAACTTCCTACACTACTGGAGAAAGAATATTGTGAATTAATCTAAGTTCAGTGATGGATTTCCTACTGTTACAAGCTTCGGTTCTATCAATAGATAAATAACGAGAATATCAGAGTAGAGAGAATGCTTTGAAATTATCTCAATTTTTGTAGCATGATTTGTTTTTCTTATTTATTTTCTATTCAAAGCACCATACAGGTCAAAAGTAGTACCGGCTATTATGCGACCATATCTTTAAAAGGCTTAGTATGACTTGGCACAATGCAAGTTGAGAGGTGAAAAGATTTCCAATAACAGGATCAAAGAATGATTTTGAAGAACCAGGAATCTCCCCAAAAAAAAAAAAAAGGCAGTATAGACCTACACATATATTACATTCCATTTTGCTTTTGTTCAAGCAGCTGGATTCATTATGGTATGGGAGAAAATGATCAGAGCAAAGGCAAAGAGAACGTATTCAGATATCAAATGAATACTTCATGGCTTTACAACTAATGGGCACCTCTGTTTATAGGCCTTGAGCTAAGGAAAATTTACAATAGTATCCCTAGAGCTAGGATGAATGTTCAATTGCATCTTTAGAAACTAGGTTATCGATGATAGACTCAAATCCACCCACTCACAAATTAGTAATTCCACAGTATATACAGAAATGCAATATGACATGCATAACTTTTGTTCTATCTTGAATAAATGACGATTGAAGAGTTGAATGAACAATAGTATCTCTATGAACTTGATTGTTTGCAATTAACTCAAAAAGAAAAAGAAAATATAACTAAATATTCCATGTTATAAACGCAAAGGAAACATGTCACAGATACCTCCTGTTCTAACTTGAATAAATGACGATTGAAGTGTTGCTGCAATCTCTCATTTGCATAATTGATACAGAACTGCTCAAAACTATTCCTCTGCAGATATAGACTGACTAATGAGTAACATCAAGAAAGACATTATATGTCAATATTCACACAAGAGGAGAGTGGTCAGATAGATTTGAAGAAAAAGGGAAAAAAGGGGTAATAAAACGTACATCAAATGATTCAAACCCATATATATCTAGAATGCTGATTGATCTGCCTGTACACCTTTTGCCAACAGCGAGCGATTTGTTTATTTGCACTACCAGCCAATCAAACAGACAAGCATATATTGACTTCGCCAAAGCATCTCTAGCATCAATGGCCTATAAGACAAAATATAGAATGGAAGCTAATGAGGGACAATCTGTATTTAAGATATAGTTACCATACATATTGTGGAAACAATAGGAATCCATTCTATTTATACATTTTGCATGATGCCTAAAAATTCCCGGCAACATCCATGAAACCCTTGAAATACTAGAATAGAGGAAGGCTATTATGGAAGAGATTAGAGATCTAGAGAAAAACAATACTTGGGAAGCAGTTGATTTGCCACAGGGAAAGAGACCAGTAGGATGCAAATGGGTTTTTATACCGAAGTTTAAGCCTGACAGTTCCTTAGATAAATACAAGGTTCAGTTAGTGACTAAAGGGTTTACTTAGGCTTATGGCATAGACTACACTAAGACATTTGCCCCAATTGCAAAGCTCAACACAGTTAGAGTCCTACCACCATCAGCTGCAAATTTTAACTGACCACTCCAACACTTGGACATCAAGAATGTGTTTCTCAATAGTGACCTAGAGAAAGTTTATATGACCCTACCTCTGACTTTTGAAAACAGAGGCAAAAGTAAACAAGTTTGCTGCTTTAAAAAATCTCTTTATGGGCTGAAACAATCCCCCAGAGCATGGTTTGATAGATTCTCAAAGTTGCTGAAGAAAGAGCACTATTTGCAGGGCCAATCTGATCACACACTCTCTGTTAACCACAATGAAGGAAAGAGGGCCATACTAATTGCCTATGTAGATGATATGATTCTAAATAGAGATGACATTGAGGAAATAGAGATTAAGGAAAGTCCTAGACTCTGAATTTGATGAGAAAGATCTAGGCCAAGTGCTATTTCCTTGGCATGGAAGTTGCCAGGTCAAGCAAAGGGATACGCATCTCATGGAAGAAAGATCACCTTGATCTCTTAACAGAAACTGAAATGCTTGGTTGCAAGCTGATTGATACTCCCATCACAGTACAAAAGAAGAAAAAGAAGGGAGAGGAAAGCAAAGATGATGATGAAGAAAAAGAAGAAAAGAAGGAGGAAAAGGAAGAAGAAGGCACGCTTGTTGACAAGGAAAGATATAAGAGTTCAGTGGGAAAACTAATATACTTGTCATGTACAAGACTAGATATTGCCTTTGTTGTGAGCTTGGTAGTAAACCAACGTACACACTCACCAAAAGAAACTCACCTAAGACTCTGTTAAGAATTGTTATGTACTCAAAGGATACCCAAGAAAAGGGCTTATTCTTCAAAAAAGGTAAACAACCCAACGTAGAGATATATATACTGACACCAATTATGGGGGCATTTTTGAGGATTGAAGATCCACATCTGTGTATTGTATCTTCATGCAGGGCAACCTAATAACCTGGAGGAGCAAGAAACAGTCTGTGGTGTCTAGAAGCTAAACTCAAAGCCATAACACATGGAAACCTATGAAGGATTGTGGTTACAAAAACTCCTTAAAGATCTAAGGATTGAGGTGGAATTGGCCATCAAGCTCTATGCTAATAGCAAGGCAGCTATAAGCGTGTCTTACAATCCAATTCAACATGATAAAACGAAACATGTTGAAATAGACAGGCACTTCATCGAGGAAAATATTGAAAATGGAGTCATGCATCTAATAATATGTTCCACCAATGGACTTCTAAGAGATGGTTTTGATGAATGCATAAGGAGGCTGGACATGATAAATATCTATGATCCAACTTCCAAATTGCTAATGCCTAGACCTTTCCTCCTCCAAAGTAATATTTCCAAGAGGCATAATTTCATATAAAAGTTATATTATTCATACAGTAGCCATTTTACCTGCGATAGCTTCAACTTTTGAACAATATTATCATTACCAACTTTCATGTTGCGAGTCGATAAAGTTAATTTAAGATCTCCAATGTCAGAGCGTATCAATTTGGCGACGTTCAACAGAGCTGAAGATATAGCCGAAACAAAATACACCCATAAGTGAGCTGATGCAGCTTCAATAGCAAAATAATTAGCTTACAAATCCTTAAATCAACCTTTTGAGGAACTCCCTCATTGCCCTCCAAATTGATATAAGATAGAAAATGAAAGCAAGAAAAAGTGATTAGCTATGTGACTCCTTCAAAACAGTTTATTTTGGTTCAATGAAGTTGAAGACCGCAAAAAGGATTTTAAAAAAAAAAATCTAAAATTCATCAAAAACACAATTTGATTGAGAAGGAACTGAAGATTACTTTGTGTTAAGGCAATCTTCCTACGTTGCCAATGTTTCTGTTGTGGAAAAGCTAACAGTGTTATTCCAAGAGTCATACTATACTAATTCTGCTTTTTATCTGCACATAAGACGGAGTTTCCAATGCATTCTTTTTTTTATCTATCACATTTTCTAATAGAAAATAGGTGTTCTTTTGGTAATTGACACAATTGTGCTGCAAAAACACTATGCTACAAATACTTTGAGCGGACGTTTCAGAGGATCCTTACCCTCGTCTTCTACAGCTTGAACATGATTTTCATGATCAATTATAGTAAAAGATATGTTTCCTAGCCATAGTACTGCAGCAAGCATTGCAAATACATTCTCCTGGTCTTCTTTGCTGATGTGGACAACATCCAAAGCTTCCTGGAAATTGTTGGCACTAAGATAAATTCATATGCATGTCAAACTACTGTTTCAAAACAAAACATTGACCAGGGAAAAGAAAGAGAATCAATGAAATGATTTTAATGAAGATAAATCATCTGCCACAGTTGGAAAGTAAAATGTACCATGACTATGCTAAATTCCTCTGCGTCATTAACACCAGATATCAAATAACAATTACTCTGCCTGAGATATTTGTAGTCTTCTGCACTATGCAGATTCAACTTCTCTGTGTTATAGAACCAACAAAAACAACAAAGGAAAAATAAGCAAGAAAATAAACAGAAATTATATATAATTAATTATAATGAAATAAAAGGCCATGGTATAATATTACGTTTTGACTGTTCTCATTTATTTTTTCAAATATTTTTGGAAGTCAAGTGTCCCTTGCAGGTTCAAAATCCATATTACTTCTACTAGAACAGTGACAGAAAATAATTAATCATAGAAGTCTTGAAGTTTATTATTACTTCACTAATATGTATAATTAAATGCTGATTGATACAAGCGTTTATGGACTAGTCAAAATCTGTACAAATAATTGCTGATTGAACATCGTGCAAAGTGGTGGGTACTAAGCAAAGATTCATGGAGAATTACTTTTGAGAAATGATTTGCATAGAGATGAAATAATTGATAGAGCTAGGAAGGTTCATGTTTAACGGAGGCAAACTTGATCCAAAAGCCATCAAATGTATTTTATCTGGGACTCATCAACCAAAAATGCTACAAATGCTATCCTTCTACCACCAAAATAAATACAAAGGATGTCATATTGTTCAGAAATTGACCTTTCTATTCTTAAACACCCATTCAAGGACAGCATGAGAGCAGTCACAATATGCAGGGATGGATATGTGGTATGACAATAGACCTGAAACTATCGAAACTACCCACATCAATCGCCTAGAAATCAACCCAAATTTAGCCTTGAGCATGAGTCCAGTTCCCTTAAAGCCATAAGCTTTCTAGAACATGAAAGCACCAATCCCATTCATATACCTACTAAGGTCATAGTTTATCCAAGAAGAGCATGAGAATTAATGAGATAGGGCCTAAAGCATCTTCCAAGCCCATACTCCGTCCAAATCCAGGTCAAAGAAGAGTTAGCATACATACAGCCCTACAGCCCTGAAGAAAGGGGCATAGCCTCATACCCAACATCCTCTATGTAATTACATTATTTCAACAAGTTGCCTCCTAGTTATCAATGGTTTGTAGAAAGTATTTTTAGATAACAGATTCCCCAAAGCACTGGTGAAGCAATGAAGAAACCAGAAAAGAAGACCATTGAAAATGAGACGAATGCAGTAAAACAGAACATCCTTAGACTCTCTTATCTAGTTCTGTATACTAAAATACAGATCAAAGAAGTTAATGCTTTGACCGCTCTCTGCATTCCTAAACTATTTTTCTCTGATTTTTTAAAATTTAAATTAAATAGTAGCATATTCAAAAAGGGATAGCTATCCTTTACATTGAAGTAATCGCATTATCATCTTCAAGGTCATGATCAAATAATATGCCTAGACAACAAAAACTCAAACTGATGTTACACACCCCAAAAAAAAAAAAAAAAAGCAACGAACTCAAACATTATTTACAATATTCAACAAATACAACAAAGTGAAGGCTAAAAGCCAGTAATTACCCCTGAGAGAAGGTGGTGCTCCAGCACATAGCTGATAAAATATATGATATGACCTTTCTCCTTCATTGCATTGGACTACTCTAGACTGCTCAATCACCAAATCAAAATAGTGTCTAGTGATGTAAGATGAGATTAATGCAAATGGTCATGTAAAGATACAGCTCAAAAGAATGAACAGTTACCTTTTCCAGCAAAACTGTGCATGTCATGCGGGGAACATCACAATCAACAGGTGGATACAAACATTTAACAATATAGTTAGTTGAAAATTTCTTGGGGAAGCAAAAGCACATGGTTTCAATCACAAAATTCAGGAGTAAACTAACATGTCTGAATATTAGCACCCGATATCTTTCCAGTCTCACTGAAGTGTATCTCAATGAGCTTTCCCTGTGAAATGTTGGCTCAAATTATGAGAACTTTCAGTATAAATTAAATGAGATCAAAACTTAACATGAAGAGAACCATTACTCAATACACTTGAGGAAACATAAACTGAAAGATTTAATATGACGAATAAGGATCTTACAAAACGACTTGAGTTGTCATTTCTCAATGTCTTCGCATTGCCAAAGGCTTCTAGTATTGGATTAGTCTTCAATATCTCATACTCTATTCCACTTCCACCTCCCAGAGCAGCCAAGTACTGCATTGCTATCTTTGCTGTCTCAGTTTTTCCAGCTCCACTTTCGCCACTGAATATGGTAAGGATAAATCATAAATTAAGTCCCAATGTAAACAGAATATAAAATAAACAATTAAATGATATCACATGGAGGGTTCAGAATGTTTAAAAAAGTGGAAAGCCAAGAGGAAGATTGACATAATAGAAAAAAACTTCAGATAGAAGATGATGAGAAAGCTGTTAGTTCATCAAATAATAATAGGTGGACCTCAGAGTACATATTTAAAATTACCAAAATTTTGTTAACTAACTATTTACTGACCTTATGATAATGGATTGATTTACTTCATCTGGACAACAAAGCAAGAATAAGAGTTAGACATGCTTAAAGCAAATGAGGTTTCTAACAGCTAAGATCTATTCTATATTTACGGATGCATACATGTATGTATGCATGTGGGAAAAGAAAATGTGACCTCGTATCATTTCCTGAATAGCTGTCTCTGTAATGGCATATACATGAGGGCTTTCAATTGTTTTACGCTTGTATGCTTCGATATAATCATTTCCATATAAAGGAACTTTCTTAAAGGGATTTACAGCAACCAAAATTGGCCCAGCTTTCGTCTGATCACACAGTTTTAGACATAAAGATGTTACAACAGCTTATATTGAGGAGACAATGAAGCTATAACTTCAAAATAAGAACTTACATAAATCATATTTTGATTGTATCTATGCTGCAAATTGTATAAAACTGAAGGTTCGTTTAAATAACTAAGTTGCATTAGATCATCCACTCCCTCAAGAATATCAGGGTTTGCCGGCACCAAACTTTCACTGTTCACTTTTAAAACCTATAACAAGGAGAAGAGTACACTTCAACAGACATTCAATAGAAAAACCATTACGTAATATGTAGATTTCAAAAACATTTTACCTTCCCATCAGGCAGTGAAATAACAGATTCAGTTCCAGAAATTGATAACATTTTCCCCAACTCCCAATTTCCATTTGGAAGTTGAAACCATGACTGGAGCTTCTGAAATATTGAACTTAGAATGTAAGAGAGATATTTCATATATTTAATATATTTTGTTAACTTGTACGAACTCTTCAAACTGTTGTAAAAGTGACTTACATGGCCATTTCTGCTTTCAAAGCGTTTATAACTTATAATTATAACTATAATTACAATTTATAATTTATAATAATCTTACGAAGAAAACCATCAAAGGCGTTCATGAATTTATACCCATCATCCAGTATAATACATTCAACAGACAACCATGTTAATGAAAATAAAGAGAAGAAAGTTATGGATGCTTTAAATTGACGCTGGAGGAATGTCCAAATTTCCATGTACTGATAATCTTCTCCAATAATTTCTATGCAGATGAAACATAAAGCAAATCAAGTCAATGAAAAGAAGAAATGTTTCCTTCACTGGTTTTCCTTTAGTTTGCTTAACTAAATCCTGTTCCTACAGTTCAAGGAAAAATAAAAATAAAAAATTCATCGTTCCCTATCAGCTCATTTTCATTCCTAACATTCTGCAAAGCACCAGTCCAATTGAACATTAGGACTAAGAAGCCACAGCATATGTCAGAGGAACTAAAAGATTGTCAATTATTTTGTGACCCATTTATCCTAAAGCCTGGATGTAGCTTTGTTTTTCAACCCATTCCATTCCTACCATGTTCTGAACTATGAATCCGATGCTTTCATATCCAGACATCCATGTCTTTAAGAATTTAGGATACTAAATTGATAATGGCACGATCATTCAAAGAGCAAAATAAGGTTTTTGTCAGAAAGCAAATAGACCCTATTTTAAGCATATCCTTTTCACATCCTCACATCAACTATTCAACCTCAGTATCTTAGATGTTCTTCAACTGATAGTCCAGCCGCTTATGACTTCAGAAGCATGACCCCTCCCCCAAAAAATATTTATAATACATACATACCATAGGAAAGATAAAAATAGCTTAACCCATATGATTAGTCTAAGCTCATAGAAATTTGTGAGAGAGAGCTCACAAGCAATAAAAACCATCTATAATCAATATCAATAATACTATAAATAACACAATTTTTAATACAAGTTAATTATTAAAACAGGGCATGACCTCCAATATCTTCTTTAGCTAGCAAATCGTGTGTGGCTCAGTCTGTGCGTATTTAATCCTTTAATCAGAAACAGGCATAAATTAGTTATTGATTATTGATTACCAAAACGTAAGTTCAAGGCTGAAACTTCCAATTAAAAAAATTGAGATTGCAAAAATTTATAGACTTAGACATTCTCCAACAATGATGAAGCTATTTATCTAACTGAGAAAGCACATCACAAGAGTCATTAACCAAACTCAAAGCTCAGGGACAAAATTTGGAATTAGGAGCGTAGAGTACCATGTTTGAAGCATAAGGTGTTGTATCACTCCACCTGCGTTCCCAGAAAGATTTTGAGATTGAAGAAAGGGGCAGAGGTAAAGGATCAACTTCTTCATCACCACTTGAGTGCCTACTTTCTAGTGATGTATTTTTTCCACCATATGGCGAGTCCTCATTGACGAAATCCATGTCACCAGCACAGTCCTGAAGTACCTCGGAAACCTTCTTTCCTATCGCACCATTTTCAGGACTACCTGATGCTACTACATCAGTGCTTCCCGGTTTAACATTTGGACTTTTTCCCAGAATATTAGGGGTTGCATTGCCTGTCAACTTGAACTCAGACGAAATTGATTTGATAGATTGAATGGCAGGTGGGACCCTAGATGTTTGAGACATTTTCCTTTGCCAACACCAAGAATGGTTACCAGTGGCAACTTCAATGGGATAAAGAGAGATTTTTTAGAAGTTCACTTTTCAACGAACATATCCATTTAAACACTAAGAGGGTCCCATTCAATGACTTGATCAGATAAACATAAATAGATAATAGAGGGGACCATAGCCCGAGATACAGAATTTACTCCTCAGTGCTCCTGACTCAAAGTCTTCATGGACACGTTCCGCCTCTTTTGAAGCTGAAAAAATCAAAATCATCAATATGACACAGCCATACCCCACTAGGTAATTCAAGGACCCAAGCAATAAGACCTTCGAGTAAACCTAGCCCAAAAATAGACTTTCCCGATTTGAAAAGTTGAGAAGTTTTCAAGCTTCAAACTCCCTCTTCGTTATTTTGGAAATGCAGGAAGTATTGCACAAACAGATCTTTTATTTTACTGGAATGCCGGCTGCTGATAAAGCCAGAAATAGAAATGTTTCGATTTCGAATAATTTTCCCCCCAGGAAAGCAAAAAAAATATGACTTCAATTAAGTTGAAATGCTTGACTTTGCAACCGGAAACAAAATAACCCTCAAATACAAGTTCTCAGTCTCATGAATTCTCTTCCGTGTTTCTATCAGCAGTTACAAAATCTTATAAGCAAAGACAAAGACGAGACACGCAAAAAGCAGCAGAGAAATAAACAGAATGCGCCTAGTATCTCCGAGCACCATTAAAACCGATCTGCTAACCTCCCAAAAGGCAGTTAAGAGTTCAAATTTCCACCATAAAGCAGACTAAGAACGGATCAACCTCTGGAAGAAAATTGATGAGGCTGCAAGAGCAGCTCACGAACCAAAGCCAAGAGGATTATCAAGTAAGAACAAAGATTTCACGGAACAAGATCTTGCAAAACGAGGGCTGGGGTTAGCGAGCACTCAGACGAATTAAAAGCTGTTCAGGAAGAGTCTAGTCTAGCAAATAACAAGGATATGCTTGCTTTCAGAGAAAGCTGAGGAAGAAAATGAAAATACCAAGCCAACCACCCAAGGTGTGTGGAGAAAACGGAGCTGCTTTCCTCTCTATGCTAAATTAATCAAATTGCGGGCTTTTGCGTCGCCACCAAATTTCAAATTTTTAAAATTAAAATTTAAAGTACATGTCATGAAACCATGTGGCGACTGTGAGTCGATTTTTTAAACAAGCACGGGACACCGTTACCTTGAAAAAATCTAGGAAAAATTGTAATAAAATTGCAACTAAGAGAATTAAATACAAAAGATCTCTTAAAATTATCAAATTATTTTGAAATCTCAAAGGACCTCATTGTAAGAGATTTTATTTGTTGAATTATCAAATTGTTCTTTTTTAAAAAAAAATACATTAACAACTAAAATAGTAGTTATTAACAACTTAAGGTATAATGATTAACAACTATCACAGTTGGTATTAACAATACATTTTCTCAGTGCATCACAAAAATGTAATGCATAAATTATCAATAGCTATTATGATAATTGTTAGTCGTTACATCTTAAGTTGTTAATGACTGCACTTTCAATTGTCAATACGTACTTTAAAAAAAAGAAGATAAGTACAATTTGATAATTAAGCAAATAAAATCTCTTGTAATGAGGTCTATTGGGACTTCAAAATAATTTAAGAATTTTAAAAGAACATTTTGTATTTAATTATCTAAAGTAGGACCTGATTGCAATTTTTCCAAAAATCTATGTAAAACAGCAAACACTAAAACCTTCACCACTTGCTACCCCTTAAAAAAAAAAGGGGTGAAGGTGATCAAGGATACAAAAAATATCATTACTATAATGAATAAGTTTTGCTAAGTGAAAAAATACAAGAGTTGCCGTCTCTATAAATATGTTGAAAAGAAATTTGTCAATCTCTATTAAGGGTGTGTTTGGATGAAACCAAACCGTGGTTTGGAAAAGTGATTCTGGAGAATAGATTCTGTGGAGAATAGATTTTGTGGAGAATAGATTCTGAGAAAAAGTGATTCTGAGAAGTGAGAGTGTTTGGATAGTTATTACCAGAAGTGCTTTTTACATGTGGAAATTACCAAAAAGGATATAAGTTAATATGATAATTATATAAAGGATAGATTTTATGATTTATTTTGATTTGAAGAAATAAAATTGTTAATAAAATAATTTTTACTAACATAATTAATAATATATAAGATAATATAATTAATACATAATTAATATGTGTTCATATATTTATAAAACATAATATTAAATATGTTTATAGAAAAATGATTTTTTTTATAACAGAAAAATATTAATTTTGTTTAAAGATTGTAAACGTGAAATCCCATAACATTTTTTCACAACTATTTTTTGTAATAACATACTACATGTATAATAACCTCTGATATTTAATACAATTAATTAATTAATTGTCACCACACATATATATTCATAAAATATAAGAGTGAAAAATATTTTTAGAGAAGATGAATTATTTTGTTGCAACCAGAAAGTCATGTATTTTTCATGAAGATTATAAATATAAAATGGGATGATATTGTTTGATAAAATAGAATAAACACGTCTTAAAATAATTTATTAATTATTCAAATAAGTAATAATTAGCTTGAGAATATAAGGTATAATATTAATAAGAGAAATATAAATAAAGAAGTGTCATAATCATTAAGATGATGCATCGATACAAAGCATTTGTAATAGGTTTTGTTTTTAACTACATATTACAATCTATGACAAAAGGAAATAAATAAGACATGACTACTATCCTCGTATTGAATTAACAAGTTCGTCTCTTATGCTATCACGAACCTGAGCCATGTAAGATGAAGATTGAATTGATGAATGTATACGTGAAAATCTAACCCCATCATCATCATCTTCTGCATAAGTACCTTCTTCTTCCAACTGAACGAATCCAGGATCAGTAATAGATGTCGTTCTAATAAAATTATGTATAGCCATCGTTGCACAAACGATTTTAACTTGTGTTTCAAAATCATAGGATGGCATGTTTTGTAAGATTGCGAACTTTTTTTTCCAAACTCCGAAAGTTCTTTCAATTGTACTCCTTAAACTTGAATGGAAATAATTAAAGATCTCATTGTCATTTTCAAACCCAGATGTCCTTCGAAAATCAGGCAAATGGTAACGCTCTCGTCTGTATGGGCCGAGATATCCATTCGGTGTTGGGTATCCAGCATCCACCAAATAATATTTTCCTATATAAAAAATGAAATTATTGTAAATTATGTTTCTATTGTTAAGCTAAATATAAAAAAAATGTAGGAAATAAAAAAATACCTTCAGGTGGATGGGGAAAGTTCATTGAAGGAGTTGTGAGGGCATGATCAAATATCCGAGCATCATGTGCGCTACCTTCCCATCCGGCCAAGACAAAAGTAAAACACATGTCCCAATCACAAACCGCCATAACATTTTGTGACACTGTTCCTTTCCTAGAGATAAATTTAGTTTGATCTGTTGCACTGACAACGCAGGAAACATGTGTGCCATCAATTGCTCCAATAGCATGTTTAAAAAAAGGCCAGTATTTACCAAACCGAATTTTTGTATGAACATGCCGGAATGTTGGATCTTTTGGTTTGATATTAGACATGGCAAGTCTACAGCATGCCATTAGGACATTATGAAAATGTCTGCTAATTGTCTCCCCTGAATGTTGAAATCTTTCTTGCTGCATTCTAGATTCTACTACTAAGTGCATGCCCAACGGTATGTAAAAACATTGCAACTGATTCATGTATCCCTATATTTTTAGTTTCTTTTAGACCATGTTGTTGCAATTGTTCCACCAGACTTAAGAACACATCCCGTTCCATCCTAAACATGTTATAACAACGACTGGAGTTGCCATCTAAAACATCCCTTACCCATATGCAGCCTGTATAAGCACTTGTATGCCGAGGCTCCTTACACAAGTTCAAAGTAGCGTATGCACCAACCAATGCTGCAACTTTGTTAACCCTTTTTTTTTGTCCCTTAGCATGCTCTTCCACATGTTTAATTTCATCATCCATATTCGTTTTATCCTGTGCACATACACATAAAGTTTAGAATTCCTACGTAGAAATTACGAAACATTTATAAAAGTTACAGAGTTGTCTGATTCATATAACAATTCACTGGTCACATAAAACATACACATATGGAATTGTCTAATATAATAAGCAAGTCATAAATCCCTAGTGTAAAACTCCAAAATAGGTAGAAGTTGTTCCTTCTGATCCTTCAAAGCTGCATACATTTCCCGTGCCTCCGGCCGTTCCATAAGGAGTTGTGTGCACCGTCTAAAGAAATCGGGATCACTGACAACTTCAGGAACTGTTTTCAGGTGAGACAGGACTCCCCTAATTGAAATTTCATAAGCACGCGCTTCTTCTTCCAACCTTCTAGCTTCTCCTTGTGAAATGACCTCATTTCCACGCTCGGCCTCAGAAATATTTGTTTCAGCAATCTTGCTAATTGCATCCGCTATTTTCATAGAGGGAGATGCGCGTTTCTTCTTCACTTCACTCTTCCTTCTGACCCCCAATGAGCTACTAGGTCGACTCCTACCTCTGCTTGTACCCCCACCACTGGTATCCTGCCTCAATTCAGTGTTACCTCCACTACCTCCACTATTATCATTGAAGTTCACTGTGTTAAATTCCCCACTTATACCAGTTGGTGCGCCTAAAATTTCATCACTATCTCCGGACCCTTCTTCCAAATCTTCATTCGGTGTTCCTTCACTTGGAAGTGTCATGGAAGAAGGTGCCCATGCTTGTGGTCCAGTTGCAGCCACACTCCAAAATAGTTGAGTCAATTGATCCCTAAATTGAAGTCCTCTTTCTCTGAATTTTTCGTAGTTTGGAACTTCCTGCACATTAGACACCAATAATATCATAAAATATTCCAAAAACAGTAAATATACACAAAACGTTAACAAGTAGAGAAAATGTAAGATCAAAAGGTTCAATAATTACCCTTATTTTTCTCTCCCACCAATCATCAGTTGCACTGACAGTATTCCTTTCAGTATCCCATCCCAATCCTGTCTCACGAAGCAGCCTATCCCATGTCTGCCACTCTTTTCGTAGGGAATCATATTTATTCTTAAATTGAGCTTTTTCATACACTCTTCCAGTTTTGGCAGTAAAGTTATCAGCAAGAATATCCCAAGCTTTCTTTGTTAAGCTAGTACCTTTTCTTTCCCCTTGTTGCACAAATTCAATGCAGAGGTCAATAAACACTTTCGTGGTTCGTAGGTCCCAGGAAGCTTTCACCGTATTCTTACCTATTATGCTATATCACAATTACAGCTCTTCAGTCATCACAGGTTAATCAACTCAAAATTAATTGAAATAACAAGTGTCATTGTTACCCAAATCAACTATGAATACCATATTAACATTTTTCTTTCTTTCATTATTATTTAAAACAAAAAGAAATTCAATCTATATTTATAACAAGTAATTAATTTTTTTAATTCAACATAAAATGGAATTATGTTCCCATTCCTTTCATGACTAGAAAAAAATTAAATAAATTAATTTTAATTACTACAAATACAACATCCTATAATTTTATTCAAAACAGGATTACGAAAAATAAAACATAAGGATTACAAATATATGTCTCTGGAAAAACTAGTCACTTGAATAGACCGAAAACCAATCCTCTGACTGAAATCAGATAAACCAAGCTACACAAATGAATCCTCGAATGAAAATCAACCCACCACTGAAGCAGAACGTCAGCAATAACTATCAACCAAGCAAAACCAGCACCCACCAAACACCCCAAGCCAGTACTGAAAAAAAAAAATATTACCCCGGTCAGACCACAAGCCATGACAAGTTCAATGCAGAGTATATAAAACAAAATTTTAGACAGCCCGGTCATCATCAACGTTGAGTGGTCGTAAAAATTATAGGGCGGCAAACTACAAATATTAAACACAGATTTCCATTTGCTATATTTTTGCATATGAGAGTCCGGTGAAGGAGACGTGGAGCTAGATAAACAGATCTCAGAACCAAAAACAAATTCACAGATTAT